AGAGAGAGAGAGAGAGAGCGCGAGAGAGAGCTCACCAACCAAGGATCCAAAGTTCCAAACCAGATCCTTAATCTTCTCCAAGCAAAAGATAATCAAAATGGGGAACCCCACAGGCCATTCAAGAACCAGGTCCACATTCTTCTCTCTCCTCCCCCTCTTCAACCATGGGGACCTTGACATCCCTGTACACACACAAATAAGGAGCATCACACCCAATGTAAGCCCCAGTCCACCTTGCTTCATCAATGTAACTTGCATCCCAAACAGATGCATACAAAAACATGGGTTTTTGAGGGAACCCGTCACTCTTTTCTCTCTCCTCTCTCCTCACCACCACTCCATCGATCACCCACTCTAACTCATCAGGACCCCATTTAATCTTATACTCATGAAACCCATCTGAGCAATCAAACCCTATATCATGAATCCTCTCTCTACCACCCACCCCATCAACATAGAAATTGGTCTGCACAATCCTCTTGTCCTTCCCCAAAAACTCAAAATCTATCTCATCCTGTGATTTATCACCCTCAAGGGAAGAGAGATAGATGTTGAAGTTCAGGCCACTTGTGTTCCCATCTGGGCATTTGATGTGAGAGCTAAAAGTGCCATATCTGAATCTGCCTTTGCTCCTCCATCTGGCTCCACCCCTGTGATCAAATGTGATGTGGATTTGGTTTGAATCTGTGTGGTGGGTGCACACATCAGAGCAGTAATCGACTGCAATTTCATCGAGGAGTTTTGTTTGATTGATGAGTGCAGTTGGGGTAGTGAGAGAAAGAGGTTCAGTGTGGGTGGGGGTGTCGGCCATTGGCGTGGAGATTTTTAGCGAGGGAAACGGTTGGAAGGATACAAGTGCTTGATTTGGTCTTTGGAGAGAGAGGTTTCTAAAAGACCCTAATTTAATTATTTACTTAAACAGCAATGATTAGTTGTATAGTAATACCATGCTACAACCCTTAAAAAGCCTATCATCCAAATTTTGAAAATTATGTTTATGGTATTTGTATGATTTCAAATTTGACACGTACATTCTTTTTATCTCAATAATCAATCTTTAAAAAAAAAAAAAAAATTCAATTTGAACATTATATATGGTCAAAATGAGTCCTCTTCAAAAATAAAACTAAATCATTTATTTTTTGAATTTTAAGTATACTTAACTTTACTAATTACAAATACTAATTTTTTTTTAACTTTACTTATATATAAATAAATA